TAATAATTATAATAATACATATCGATAATTATCTCTATATTAAAAGAAATTGACTAAATATGAAATTAAATTTATTCAATAATCATCTCTATTGCAATAGTAAAAGAAATCGATTAAATATGAAATTTAAATCTGAAATAAAATTTATTACTAAAATATTAAAGCTTATATGACGTGAAGGATCCTTTTTCTCATTTTCATACTCATCCTCATTCTCATCTTCATACTCATTCTTAGAATTTCTCTCAGTCTCATCTTTATCTCAACCTCTTCCTAATTCTTCTGCTATGATCGAATGAGCTGATAAAATTGATGGAATATTATCACTACTGAAAACTCCCTATAATAAAATAAAAATAATAAATTAGTTGAAATTATAAATCGATTGCTAATAAGATCTTACGATATATTTGCTCAGCCGAGTCTTAATTTGTTTTTCACTACAAGTGATCCCTTTGGAATCAGGGTTTAGATAAATATCATAAATCATCAATGTGATTGCACAGTGTGCAGCAGTAAGCTCTATTCTAGAAAATGTTGCTTGAATAATTATCGTAACCCAATACAAATCTTTATTATTATGTTAAAAGAAAAATATGTGTAAATAATCATTTTGATCTGGAAAATGAATATTACACAAAACAAACCTTCCTTGTTTTTTTCGAAGAGTTCTGCAAAGCAATTTAACACTCTTAAATCACACTTCCATGTTATAATCTCCACTGTGGAGAAGTTTGTTTTAGATATAATAGCCACTCCACACCGAAAACACTAAATAGAGTGATTTTTATGTTTGAGAACTGTGTGCTTTGGTGATTTTCATTTTTTGTTGGAGCTATAAAATTGATAGTTTATAATAATAATTATATTTAATGCAATTAATATTTATAATAGTAATTATTTTAAAATGATTAATATTTAATCATACCAGCGTTGCTCACTTGCCATGAAAATTATTTAAAAATTGACTACTGTTAATCGATGTCATAACTTCTGAATAATTAGCATTCATGTAATCTTTTAATGTGTTTCTTAAAATTTCTAGTGAAGGATACATCTGCTGCAGAAACAACATCTTTACAACTCCAGTAAAAATTACCTATAAATTAAAATATCAATTAAAATCAATTTGGTTCGATTATGAACAAAAAAACTTATATTGAGAATTTCAGTTGAAAGTTCGTTGCTCCTTTCATGTATTCATCTCAGATCATCTTTGATTTCTTTGATATTATTGCTCAATTATTGGACAAGAGCAAATAACTATCAATTTTGATCAAATAGACAGTCTTCTTTATTTCAATTTTGATGATTACCTAAATTAATAAAAAATAAATATATTATCATTGTTAATTCTTAAAGATATTTCCAATTTAATATTCTCTACTTGAATGATTTTGACATTCATATTTCTGATATTTGCAGTCCTGATGTTCATATTTCTGACATTCGCATTCCTGATGTTGATATTTACGATTATAATGATTTTGAGATTCACAATTCTGACGTGAATGGTTGAAATACAAATCTAATTGTTTAAAAATAAATAAATAAGTGATATTAAATATTTTGAGACAATTATATTAAATCTCTTCTGTTAATCTGTTCGAAACTTTGCTGAATGTATCTTAAATTTGTAATGGCATCTTCTGACGAATAATTGGTAGTTTGACGTTGGTGCGATCTATCTGTATGTCTGCGCGAACTATCCGTATGTCTGCATGAACTATCTGTACGTCTGCATGAACTATATGCACCTGAAGTAAATCGATGAGGAGGAGAAGGAGATCAATGAGAAGGAGGAGGAGATCGATGAGGAGGAGAAGGAGATCGACAAGGAGAAGAAGTAGATTGATGAGGAGGAGAAGTAGATCGACGAGGAGAAGAAGGAAAAGAAGAAAGACGAGGAGTAGCAGAAAGCTAAGTAGGTAAATGCTGCATTTTATCTGAGAATATTGTAGTTAATATAGGAACTGATTTTAAACTAAAAGATTGTAAGGAAGAAAATGTATTCGATCCTGATGCAAGAGGTTGTATTTGAGTATTTGCAGCAGTTGTAGTATTAGTGTTATTTTCCATTTTGAATCTAGTGACAAATATTTCTTACCACCACAATATTTATATCTGTTAGAAAATTCTTATTAATCTATTATTTGCTTAAGCGATCTCTCGAAAGTAAAAATATGATCATTAGTAATAATATCGTAATAATGCACTAAAAATTATTAAAGTATAGAACATTAAATAAGTAATTTATCTTAATATTATCATAAAATTCTAATAAAAGCATTACTTTGATCACTTAAAAGTTAATAATATCATTAGTAATAATATCATAAATTTAAATGAGTTAGGGGAGCAGCATCTATCATGTGATTTTGAGGGGGTTTCAATCAATCATCAGGGATAATTAATCAGTTTAAATCAGAAGAGGTACCTCAGATGGGGTTTCAGTCAATCATCAGGGATAATTATAAGTTTATTAATCAGTTTAATATTATTAAATCAGAAGAGGTACCTCTTTAATTAATACGAATCGCTTATAAATAAAGCTTACCTAACTAATCTTAATAATATCATAATATCTTGCAACAAGCCATTGCTATTGTTACTTAGCTACTGATCACTAGTAATAATACCTTTAATCGCTTACTATCGATTCTAAATAAAAATTAATATGCGTTGGCAATGTGAACACTGTGACAGAAGTTTTTCGAAATCAAATGGATTATCACAACATATCTCCCAAAAGCATCCTTGGCTTCGTGATGTGATATCTTCACCAATAATTATTTCTCAACAAACATCTTATTCAGATGATGAACTTTGGAATATACCGCAAATCGGACATAATGTTGAGTATTTATCAGATAATTCTATGGTAAATATAATTCAATGTTTTTGATTAAGAATATTAGCAAATAATTACTCAATAATAAATTTCATTTAGAGTGAAGAAAATACATCTAATATTCAATTAACATCGATTCCAAGCTAGGGATAGGAATCAATTCTCTAGAATCGATTAATTTAGAATCGATTCTGAGAATCGATTAATTTTATAGAATCGATTAAAATTTGAGAATTGATTAAAACTTTTTAATCAATTAAAATTTGAGAATCGATTAAAATTTAAGAATTGATTAAAATTTGAGAATCGATTAAAATTTTAATTGATTAAAATTTGAGAACTGATTAAAATTTGAGAATTGATTAAAATTTTAATTGATTAAAATTTGAGAATCGATTAAAATTTGAGAATCAATTAAAATTTTTTAATCGATTAATATTTTTTAATCGATTAATTATGCATAAATGGTGTAACAAAATTATTAAAAAAAATAAACTAATGAGAAAATCTCCTCGTAAAAAATATGGTAAATGTTACAACTCACTCTTGTACACGACAATCTACTTTGTCATTTAGCAACAATATTAATAATACTCTAGTCTTTGATGATAACCAAGAAACTATTTTCAATACAGAGTTTAATGACTCTGATAGTGATAATAATGCTGAAAATCTCAATATTAATCCAAATTTGAATGATATTTACGAAACAACAGAAAATAATAAAATAGATGACAATACTTCAATCATTTCTTTACCATTTAGTATCTCTATAAATTCAACTAATCAAAGCATAACTTCAACAAATCAAAGTATAACTTCAACTATTCCAACAAAAAGAAAACATGAACTGAAAACTAAACCAAAAACCAGTTATGTATGGAATTACTTTAAACAAATAGCTCCTGATACTACTATTTGTCAAGTACCAGAATGTGAAAGAACATTCACTTATCACAAAACCACTTCTACTATAAAAATACATCTTTTAAGTGTTCATTATATCACAAAAACTGTCATTGAAAAACAACAAAGCTCTACTTCATCCATAACTCAGACATTGTTACCAAAAATTATAAGCGATACAATAAAAGTATCTTATAGTGCCAAACAACAAAAGGAAATCAATCAATATTTAGTAAAATTTATTGTGGAAACTGTTCAATCTCTTCAATTAGTTGAAGCTCCTGATTTTCTTAACTTTTGTAAAAAATTAGATCCCAAATATAAAGTTCCAGTTACAAAAACATTAAAAGATGAAATTGATTTCGCATATTACTATACATATGATCAAGTAAAAGAAGAAATCAACAACAGTGCTGAATATGTTGCACTTACTTTGGATTTCTGGAGTTCTAAAGCACATCTACCTTATTTAGAAGTTACTTGTCATTGGTTGTCATTAAATTTCAAATACAAAGAAATCCTCTTAACTATTGGAGAGTTATCATATCCACATGAAGCTTCTCAAATAGTAGAATATATAAAAAACTTGCTTAATATATGGAATTTAGAGTTTAAAGTCTTATCTATTACAACTGATAATGCTGCTAATGTGAAAAAAGCAATTAGAGATCTCAGAGTTGGAACTCATGTTTCTTGTGCAGCTCATACATTACAACTCAGTATTATTAAAGGATTAGATGAAATAAAAGATATTATAGAAAAATGCAAAAATCTTATTAGATTTTTGGCAGGAGATAAAAAAAGACAACAACTTAAAGAGGCACAATTATATTTTCAACAATAATATTCTCAATCATTATCTAATAATATATTTCAACAAAATATTTCAGAAGATACCAATATTCAACAAGATGAAACACCAATCTTAGATGTTATTAAGACAAATAATACACGATGGAATTCAACATTTTATGCTTTTAAAAGACTACTAGTTTTAAAACAAGCAATTATTATATTAAAAAACACTTTATTTGAAGATAACAAAATCAATATTCGAAAAGAAGATGCTATATTACAGTCATTAATTCCAACCAGTCTTGAATGGCATACAATTGAAAAACTTATGTCACTTCTTGAACCTTTTGAACAAGCAACTCGTTTAATGAGTGATTTCAAGTTTGCTACTCTTGGAATAATGTATCCAGTTATGATTGGATTACTGGATAGATTAACAAATGACTTTTCTAATCTTAATGATCGAATGGCCAACAATGTTAAAGATGTTATCCAAGATGATATGAAGTCCAGATGGGAATTACCTCATGAGCTGGAAATATATGGTTCATTCTTTGATCTACAGTTTAAAGATTTAAGTTTCATTTCAGAGGTAATTATTTTTTATAATATATTCACTTTCAAATGTGATATCTTGTAATGCTATTATTTGATTTGTCTAATTAATACGAATTAAGTGATAGTATTTTCACTCAAAAACTATTTGCTAAATCATGAGATATTGTGTCTAAACAATTTTATCATTTAAACATGATATTTCATAATTCAGTGACTGAATTCAAGTAAAATTATAATCATTCAATTCATCTTGATTAGACGAATAAAATAATAGTATTTTACTTGAATCTAATTACTGAATCACGAGATATCACGTTTAAACAATAAAATCATGTAAACATGATATCTTGTGATTCAGCAATGGAATTCAAGTGAAATACTATCATTTTATTTGTCTAATCAAGACGAATTGAGTGATAGTATTTTCACTTGAATCTGGTTACTGGATCACAAGATATCACATTTATATAATAAAATAAAAATTAATTATCATTTATTTTTGGAGTATGTATATTAATCATATATAATTTTTTTATTTTTTGCATTTATAGAATGAGCGTGCAGCATATATTCAACAAATTCAAATTGAATATGAAGTTTTGCACTCAGTTTCAGATACCAATTCAACTATATCACAAATTACCAGTCAAGAAGAATCATCAGCAATAGGAGTATTATTTGCTAAAAAGAATGCTGTTATTTGTCCATCAGTAAAAGGAGAATTTGAAAAATATCTGAAAATCCCAGAGCTTCCAGCTTTGGAGAAAAATGATCCAATAATTTGGTGAAGAGCAAATAAATCTGAATATCCAATTCTTTCACAACTTGCACGTAAATATTTGACAATTCCTGCCATATCAGTTCTATCTAAATGTCTATTTTCAGATGTGGAAAACTTAATTACATCTGAGTGAAATTGATTAAATAGCCAGTTGATAGAACAAATTATGTTTATTAAAAGAAACTGAGAATTTGTACAAATTTTTCCTAATTCTAATAAATAAAAATTGATTAATAATAAATTCCTGAACTATGTATTTCAACTCTTAGTATATTTAAAAAAATACGTAATATGACCTATTTGAGAATCAATTCTCTAAAATCAATTAATTTAGAATTGATTCTGAGAATCGATTAATTTTACAGAATCGATTACAATTTAAGAATCGATTAATTTTATAGAATCAATTACAATTTGAGAATTGATTAAAATTTTAATCAATTAAAATTTGAGAATTGATTAAAATTTAAGAATCAATTACAATTTGAGAATAAATTAAAATTTTAATCGATTAAAATTTGAGAATCGATTAAAATTTGAGAATTGATTAAATTTGAAAATCGATTAAAATTTTAATCAATTTTCAATTTGAGAATCGATTCTCAAATTGAAAATTGATTAATCGAATTTATTTAAAACGATTAATCGATTAATCGATATTATTAATCAATTTTAGAATCGATTCTGGGTTGAGAATCGATTCCTATCCCTAGGTCATACTATTTATAGTTTCATATTTTTGAATAGCTGGTACTATATGATAACACCATGCATGAAGCTTTGGCAATTGCAAGCCACTTGGAGAATAACGAGCGAAAAGATCAATGAATTCACGAGCCCAATTAATAATGAGTGTCTATGTATTAAAGCATTAGAAATTGATATATACTAAGGTTAATCAATTATCGAATATCTTCAAAAATAAACTATCCTTTTCTTAGAGTAGTTTATTTTTGA